TATATCTGAAGTCTTTACAGTTCCAGCCAAAACAGGAACACTGGAGTGGAACAGAAAAATAATCCACCGCAGACCAGAGGAGGCAGAAGGAAAAAACAATGTTAACAAGCAGCTTTGGGCACTTAGAAATTAACAATGAGGTGCTTCCAAATTAGTACAGCAAGAGAGAGAGATTGATCTACATCATTTCTCAGACTGGCAAGTGAGGGGGTGGAGGATCTAGCTACTGGAGAAGAGAAACCGCAGATAAAGATACATACGGCAGTGTTGAATTAGCCGGAAGTTCTAAGAATACAGAACCAGAAGCCTGCATCATGTGGCCATAGCAATAGTAGCACCAAATGCTTCAACACAAATCGATCTGGGGCCAAGAACCTCTCCCCCAGGAAAAACAGAAGTCGCTCATCCAGCCACCGATATGGGCTATTTACAGTCCAGCGGAGAAGGCTGGATGAGCAAGGCTGAAGTAATTCTATGCCTCATATTCCCCTGGTTCTTCACCAGCCCCTGCAGTGGAACACACAGGCTGCTCCAGTGTCCTAGCCAACTTGAGAGCTTGGCTTCTGAAGAGGCTCTTTCAAGATCTGTGATGAGAATTTAGCTTAGCCGTTCAGAGAGAAGACCAGGGAGGCAGCAATACCTGTTGTCAGTGCCTCCCCTCACTGTGGGCAAATCACCCTTGTCATCCATCACCCCTTCAAAAAGGTAGCGCTGAGGTGCGCTTTCCTACCCCCCGAGGGTGCTCTGAGGCTTCAGAGCGGTTTGGTTTGAGCCCCTCTGACAAACAATGCTACCTGACCACAGGGTGTTATTTCTTGTTACCACGCAACACACTTTTGCACCAAGTAGAACGTTTCTGGCTTAATTATAGAGACGCCACCCACAAAAGCAGCCCATGCTTGGGTGGTCTCCCTCCCTCCCCCTTTACAGAGCTTTTATCCAGATGAATGATTATCACCCCCGCGCACACACTAGTGGCGAGATGAGGCTGAAACAAGAAGCCTGTACATGGATTCTGATGCACTTAGATTTCTTTGTGAGTCAGGCTACAATCAGAGACACTACGACGTACAAGCGTATTTTGTCCCACGCTGTTCTTAAGCTCAGGAGGGAGCTGCCTAATCAGCAGGACCTGGGTATTACAGCACAGCAGAGAACGTAAGAGCGGCCATACTGGGTCAGACCAAAGGTCCATCCAACCCAGTATCATGTCTGCAGACAGTGGCCAGGTGCCCCAGAGGGAGGGAACAGAACAGGGAATCATCACGTGATCTCTCTCCTGTCACCCATTTCCAGACAAACAAAGGCTAGGAACACCATTCCTACCATCCTGGCTAATAGCCATTGATGGACCTAACCTCCATGAATGTATCTAGCTCTTTCTTGAACCCTGTTAAAAGTCCCAGCCTTTACAAGGTCCTCTGGCAAGGAGTTCCACAGGTTGACTGTGCTCGGAGTGAAGAAAAACTTCCTTTTGTTAACGTGCTACCTATTAATTTCACTTGGTGACCCATAGTCCTTAGAGAGAGAGGAGACGGAAGGATAGTTACTCCATTCGTATGTCTGACTACTAGAATACACTGGAAAGAATGACTAGCTTCCATTTCGCCAAGTGGCTGCACAAGAACCACTTCTTCCAGGAGCTTTTTGGGGAAACATGGAAACCTTGTGGCCAGGAGGAGGAGTCTGGACCACCTGAGTTTTATTCCAGGGTCTGTGACTGACCTGCAGTGTGACTTCAGGGAAGCCACTTCATCTCCTTAAGGCCGCCCTCCTACTCTCCGTCTTATTTACACTGTTAGCACCTCAGGGCAGGGACCCATGTGTGTACACAGCAGCTAGGTGCTACTGTAACAGATAAGTAAGGGTGGGGGGGGGGAAGAGGAAAAAACACAACTGAAGAGACTCCAGAGTTAAATAAATTCTTTACTTTCAAATATAGTGCCAGACTTCAAGTGAACAGTAGACTATATGGAAGATGCTTAAGACAGTAATTCACAAGATCCTGAGGATTACTAGCCAGCACTGCGAACCCAGATGTTTATCTTACTGGAGTTAACCCTTGTTTTAAGGTTCCAATAGGTAGACTCAGATTTAAACTGATCCAGCATCTATTCCCCTTTTGTGTGTCTCATCCCTTTTTTAAGCAAGGAAAACCACTTAAGATCCACCCAGAAGCATGGCATGTTAACGCTCCTCTTAAATACCTAGATCATACTTAATGCATATTTATCTGAGACATGGCCATGAAATCTTTGGATAAGTTCTGAATCCAAATAAACTAGAGTCTCTCCAACAAGACAGAGGGCCTACAACTTACTGAAATAATTTAACACCTCTACAAGAAGCACACAGAGCTATCACATAACTAAAGGCTGTACACTTCATCTGACGCATCACTGTTATTGCTAACACTTCCATAGGCCCATTCATTCCTCCTCCACTACCCGTTGATGCGGTAATTCATGTGGATTTCTGGTTTGATGTCACAGACAAACATCAGCAGGTTATTCAGCACTTTCTCCCTGTTCTTCTGGAAGTTGTCCTGGATTGTGCTCATCTTCATCTGGGTCTCCTTCTCAATTTCCGTGGAGCAGCTGCCATGAGACCCAAGAGCCTAACAGACAAGAGGGAGAGAGAAGCACACTTTAGAGTTCCTTGGCAGCCCTACAAAAGGAGCTCGATGCATGAGCTGCCACTCTAGGTGGTTACAGCCTCTGGTGTATGAACTCGCGGTGAATGGACTGCCCTGGGAGCCACGAGACCTGGGGTCCCTTCCCAACAAGTCACTTCATTTCTCTGTGCCTCCACTTCCCCCTCCCATCCTTAGCCTGTCTCGCGTACTTAGATTAAGCTTTAGGGAGCCAGGATGGTCTCGCTCTAGGCATTTGCACAAGACGACCCTGATTCTAGGCACTATTCTAATAAAATAAATTCAAATGAAAAAATGCCACAGACGTTTACAAACAACGTACAGTAATTCCTCATTGAACGCGTTTTCGTGCTAAGTGAAAAGGTGCTATGCGGGGTCCATTTTCCCATTAAAAATAATGGAAAAGGTAGGGGTTGCGTTTCAGGTGGGGGTGGCAAAGTCCATTTTTTGTTGGTGCTGGGTCGTCAACGTCAGCATTAGATATCTCGCAACACAAGTCACTGCGGTTTGTTAACACACAAAGATAAACACGTGAGAGCGCGGAGGAGCGCTGTGACCACGTGTATTCATCCGCTCACAAGTATTACCACTGTTTTCACCAACTTATGCCGCCACACGAAGTAGTCTGCCACTTGATTATTTTCATGTTATTCCAGGGAAGGTCGTGATATTCGAAAAACATTCCCTAAAACTAAAATTGTTCTACCGCAAAAACGTATTGAGCGGGCACGTGTTAAACAAGTAATTCCTGTAATGCAAGACATAAAGCCCTTCCCCAAAGCCAATTTATTTCTCCTTCTCTTGGAAGTTTTTCAAAATATCCCAAGTCTGATACTAAGCAGCCCTGTATTTATACCTTACACACACTTGCAGTTACCTCTGTGCAAAATATGACCGGTTAGAAGTTATTTGAAAACATGTAACTCCCTGATTGTTAGTATCCACGTGTGATGTAAGTAAGTGATGGGTATTACGAGATGCTGGAATAATTACTCAAGTGTTTTGAAAACAGACAGGTCAGGGAGTTGCTAAATGGGTCTGCACTACACAAATTAACATGTTTTCCCTACCTGGGAGGGATTTGCAAAGCAGTTTAAAATACAGAAAATGGATTTATAGACTGCGTAAACCCAGGGGTCTCAAACACTGATGGACCTATTGTCCATTAATTGATCCAGCTCTTTTTTATTCTTATTAAATTCCTGGCCTTCACAACCCCCTCTGCCAAGGAGATCCACAGGTTGACTGCGTGGTGTGAAGAAATTCTTCCACTTGTTTGGGTCACCCCAGTTCTTGTGATAAGGAAAAGTTACTTACTTGCTCCCATATCTACTTTCTCCATACCAGACATGATTTTATAGACCTCTATCATATCCCCCCGTCTTCTCTTTTCTAAGCAGAAAAGTCCCCATCTCATTCATCTTTCCTCATCTGGCAGCTATTCCATATCCCTAATCATTTTTGTTGTCCTTTTCTGAACTTTTTCCAATGCCGGGATATTTTTAGTAAGATGATGCTCCCACATCTGCACACAGTATTCAAGATGTGAGTGTTCTATGGATTTATATAGAGCAGTGGTTCTCAAACATTTTGGCTCGTAGCCCAAGTAGCTCAACTCAGATCTTTCTGCAGCCCACCAGCCCGATAACAAAACGGGTATAGGAGGGGTGGGAGTGCAGGGTCTGGCTGGGAGGTTGGGTGCAGGGGTGGGCGGAGCTGTCAGAGTATAGAGGTGCAGGATCTGGGCATGAGGGAAATGGGGGACACATAAGAATGGCCGTACTGGGTCAGACCAAAGGTCCATCTAGCCCAGTAGCCTGTCTGCCAACAGTGGCCAGCATCAGGTGCCCCAGAGGGGGTGGACCAAAGACAACGATCAAGCGATTTGTCTCATGCCATCCCTCTCCAGCCTCTGACAAACAGAGGCCAGGGACACCATTTCCCCTGGCTAATAGCCTTTTTTGGACCTAACCTCCATGAAATTATCTAGCTTCTCTTTAAACTCTGTTATAGTCCTAGCCTTCGCAGCCTCCTCTGGCAAGGAGTTCCACAGGTTGACTATGCGCTGTGTGAAGAAGAACTTTCTTTTATTCGTTTTAAACCTGTTACCCATACACATACTTGGCTTTGTGCCCCCTCCCCGCTGCTGCTCCCAGGCACTACCTCCCGCTGCTCCCTTTGGCCGCGATTCCATCCCATGGACACAACAGGGAAAGCCTCCAGACTTCCCGGCACTGCTGTTCCCTGGAATGGCAGCGTGCAGAGCCGCTTGTTCCCTGTGAACTGGGTCTGGTCTGCGAGGCTCAGCGCCCCTGCCCACAAAACACACAGCGGAAAGTCGGCGCTGGTGCTCCAACCGTACAGGAGAGAGGCTGGAGGCTCCCCGCTGCAGCGGGTGGAGGGGAGGGGCCAGAATCTCAGGCCACGGCCCTCCTGCCAGACAGCCATGGACCACTAGGGGACTGCGCCCCGCACTTTGAGAACCACTGAGATAGAGGCAATACAATATTCTCGGTCTTATCCTCTATCCCTTTTTTAATGATTCCTAACATTCCGTTTGCTTTTTTGACTGTCTTAAAATTAATCTGCCATTTTGTTTCCCAGGCACCTAGTTTTGTAAGATCCTCTTGAAGCTCTTCAGTCTGCTCTGGACTTCACTATCTTGAACAGTTTAGTACCATCTGCAAATTTTGCCTCCTCACTGTTTACCCCTTTCTCCAGACCATTTATGAATACGTTGAATACGACTGGTCCCATTATGGACCCCTGCAGGACACCACTAGTTATAGGAATGTCTACCGGTAACCAGCTAACTGCCTGCCCAGTAAATTACCTCTTTCCAGTCAGAAGACTATTTATTCCTGCCTTTGTTTCCTATCTTAACGACTTGTCAGTCGATGAGAGAATCTTCATTCTTATTCCTTGACAGCTTACTTTGCTTAAGAGCCTTTGGTGAGGTACCTTGTCAAAGGCTTTCTGGAAATTTAAGTACACTATATTCAACATGCTTGTTGAACCCCACAAAGAATCCTAGCAGATTGGTGAGACATGATTTCCCTAC